AATAGGTCAGAAAACTCCCATTTCTTTCAATTTTGGGTCAGTTTTACTTGCTCCAAGTCTTCATTAGCGTCATCCCAGAAAAAATACAAATAAAACAACAGGGACACGCTATTGGGGTCAGACAGTAACTTGCGATTGGATCAAACTGCGTCAGCTGCTCTGAACGGGAAAGCGGCGTTTTGGGAATGAGGGAATAATCTTTTGGTAATGCTCGGCTTTGCTTTTTTTTTTCATTTTGGGAGTCATTTTATGGCTCCTCGCGCCGGGTCACGGGGAGGTCGCCTCCCTCGATCTTTTCTGAAATCTGCTCTGTTTTGTGATGCGCGGCTCCGTGTTAAAGTGTTTTGAGTTGGCACAAACATGACAAGCCCATGGTGCAAAACCATGCATTGTTTTTATTGGATGATTCCAACCTCCCCCCCTCCAAGATTCTCTAGAGGTGAGGAAAGAAAGTTCAAGCGAGAAAGAAGATGCTAAATACATGCTTAATGTGCTGAGAATCACAGCTCTCTGCTAGGTGGCAGACACACACACACACACACACACACACAAACAAAGCCATTGCCTCAGGTGATTCTCTGCTGTAAACCGCAGTGGCTTGTACGGCCAGAGGCCGACAGCCTCTCCAGGAGTTTTTGTGGCAATAAAAGCAAGCTTTTTTTAGAGATGATCCCTCATCGGCATCAAATTGGGCAAAATGACTCAGCCTCTGCTTTAGTTTCAAATATTTCTGTGTGCTGCTCACGTTCTAAGCATATTGCAACGATTTCTGGTCTTTGAGGAGAGACAAACACAAACCGTGACCTGTACCGTATTGTTCCAAACCCCTTTCCTGGAAAGAGGCCCAGCTCCGTTTGGACTGGGCCCCGGTCCACAGGATAACAGATAAACACCATTTTATTTTTGTGTTTTCACAGAAATGTGTACAACACGTGACAAAAAATACAAGATAAATAAATATTCTCTCCACTATTTCTACAAACCCATGAAACGGCCATGAAATATGCCGACCACACAAACCGAGGAGGTACTTCTGTTTGGTTTTCCTCGTTTTTCCGCGGGTCTCTGCCCAAACTTCCTTCTGAGGAGCAACATTATGTAACGCTATATCACAGGGGCATCGGGGGTGGAAATAAAAATATTAAAAAAGCACCACTGAGGTGAAAATTGATCTCCATTGGGAATATTGTCTGAAGCTTTTAAGGCTGACAGCACATGGTTGTTCCAACCAGCCTCCTCAGACCACAGAAAAGAGTCAGCAGGGGTCTTAGGAGTCACATGTGGGAGTTAAAAACCAGATCGATAGTGGATTCAATCAAAAAGTGTCAACAAGAGTAGGAAAAAAGTTGATGTTTAAGTTGTCAAAGGAAAAGATCCCACTCAAACTGTGTCAGTTTACAGTTGTAACGGCACGCAAGCCAGATTTCTGCCAGACCGCGGCACGACTACTGAACCGACAGTCACAAATGATATTGTTTAATGTTTTTCACTCCAAACAAAACCGTTGCGCGAGTGAAAACGATTACAGGGAAATCGAATGAGTCACTCCATTTGCTGCCCACATGCCGCAGCCACCATAATCTCTTCCAAACGGACCTCTCCTCTTTCTCCGAGGACATGTGAGGACTCCCTCTGCCGCAGCCGGAGGAGAGGAGGGGAAGTGGAGGGATGCTTTTCATTAAACTCCACAGGAACCCTGTCGCCTGCCTGTCGGGCCGCTCCGTATCCAGGTCATCAGAAAGGATTCGACAAGGACATGTTCACATTTTTATGGATCCTGGGCGTTTTCAGTGCCGGGCTCAAACTTTTAGTCCAGACTTTTTTCCTCCCCTGTGCGTTAGATGAGTCATAAATGCACCTTTGGTTCCCAAACTCCTGATTTGCCAATTCAACCCGCCTGTAAAACTTGCCAGTTGTTTATTTTCTAAATAATTTCCTGGTGGGATTTGTATCCATATGATGGCGATCAATCCTGCAAAGTGTGGGTCAAATGGACAAATTTAAACAGCATGCATACAAATAATTTACACGTACATACAAATATACTATACATAAGAATGTGAACATATACATACTTTATTGTTGTGTAAGCATTTATCCAGCCTTTTATGTCTTTAGTTTTTTTTAAATGTGGACAAAAAAGCTTGTATTTAGCAGATTGGCCAGAATACAGTTTTTATTGCCCTGACATGCTGCACACACACACACACACACACACACACACAGACACACACACACACAGACACACACACACACACACACACACACACACACGCACACGCACACAAAGTTACACTGTTGGTGTTGTTTCTTTCCAATCCATTAGTGAGTGATTAAATCTGATGCTATCATAAAAATATTGTCAGCTGTAACCTAAAAGAAAAAAAAAGAATGCTGAAATTAAAACATTTCTATCAAATGAGTAATTACTTTGGAAAATGTACCAAAATGAATGAAAAAGTTGGAATTTGTTGTTTATCAAATGTGCTATTGTTGGTGGGTATGTGGGACTTGTGTGGCGTTCTTTGCTGTACAGCACCCGGACATGTTGGATCCACTAGCTGTGCACACACACACACACACACACACACACACACACACACAGCTGATGGTTACATCTACACCGGGTCACTGCCACCTTCTGGAAGGAAAACCGCTTTACAGTTAACACAAAAAGGTTGTTAAACCCTCGCCACGTTTCAGAATCCGCCATCCATCCATTATCGTTACCATGGGGTCGCAGGGAGAACTGGAGCCTCTCCCAGTGGTCAATGGGCGAGAGGAGGGGTACAGTCTAGGCAGTGATTCAGAATCATGCTAATGGGAATTATTCTGGTTTTTCAGAACAGAAAGCAGAAACAAGTAATCGGAGTGAATGGATTCAAAACAGAAAACGTCATTTTCAATTTCAGGAGAAATCAAACCCTTCCGCCACATAAAGTCTTCTTGAGAATAATGGTACAACTTAGATCATAACTCGGAGAAAGCAAACGTGCACACAAAGTTGAAGCTGAAGGAGGTTAAGGCAAATTTCTATCAGGCTGTCATTTTAACCTCCTGAGAGCCGAGCTTTTATTTGGTGCGCATTTTTGCTTCTTTCCAGATAAATTAGTTTAATAACTAGACTTTGTCATGGTGCAGGTAACTTTTCTTCGTCTAGGCTCAGTGGATTTATCTTGATATTTATATAGAAATATAAATATATTTAAACATTTAATGACATGTTTTCTCTGCAATTTGTTTCTGACAGTCCAAATGACTTATTTACAAAAATGTAATTAGACAATAAGAACATGATTGGTTGAAATGTATTAAAACCATTTTCCTATAGATTTCAAACAGTAGAGTCTGATAGCGTCTGCTGAGAGGCCAAGAGGTCAAAGGTAAAAAACAAAAGACTTATCCTGGTACAGAGGGGCAGAAATGCAGCGTCCTTATACGAGAACAGGCTCTCAGGAGTTTGAGACCTACACGCTGGAGGGCTGGTGGCAGACGCCGATTGACATCCTCATGAAACTCCTTCTTTAAAAAATGTGTCAGGATTCAGCTTCTCCCTGATGTCCTTCATTGTTACCTCGTGCTTGTGTTACAAATCATATCAAAGGCCTGGTTGGCAATGGTTTCCAATCCCTCTTTGAATCTAATTTTAGATGCAGTCCACAGAAAGTCAGCAGTTAGCGCTCACACTTCTTGGAAATCTGGCAGAGCCACCAGTAGCTATCTAGGTCCTCCATTAAAGAAAAAAAGCTTTAAAACAATGGACACATAGTAAACTCGTCTCATCTGAATACAATGGAATAAAATAATAGCCTCTGAGTTAGCAGATGTGTAGAAAAAAAGGAAGAAGAAGCTTGATAAAAATGACTTTTTGACTTTTTACCTTGGCGACTGCTGCTCTGAAACTCTGTGCATCTGTTTTCTAAACCCACTCAGTGCAGCTCAGGGTTAGCTGCTTCCACTGTGGGCTTTGGCTGGTTTGGGATTGACTGATGATGATTGTGCCTGCCTGCAGCACTGTTGCAAAGTGGTTTTAAACACTGGAGCCGCAGGAATTTCAGCTCTCCAATATGTTCAAGCAATCGTTTCTGTATGAAGCAGAATAGACTGGAAAAGAGCTGTTTTTTAAAAAAGGGGTTAGGTCAGTTTTACAACCTTTTGTAAACATATTATAATATACTGATGACATCAAAACGATTTTTCAAGTTTTACACAAGCAGATCATCTGTAATCCAGTCCTCTTGTTTATTTTGTGATTTCCCCCGTCATCCTGTTCATGCTTACACCACCGAATGGGATGTGACGTCCGAGTCTTACCCACGTTTAACGGACCTATCTGGAACCAAGCCATGACCAATCATTAAAGAGATGGATTACTATAAGCAGCCGGTAGCTTAGTAAAGGCGCAGCGCTCCATCTGTTGGAGCCACGCGGGCACAAACACAGACCGCGCTCAGTGGAAAGTATTGCTCAACGCACCTCTTCCAAGCCAAACATTTATGCTCCTCATTAAACGCTGCTTACATTTTTACTGCCAATGTTGTCTCATTTCTGCTCCAATAAGACGTTAAAACTTCCATCATAATCGTGTTTATTTATTCGTGGAAGCACAGCCGCTTCCTTAAATCATCAGTGTACATAGTGGTTTGTCAATCCGAGACATAAGAACACAATTAAAAGCAGCGCTCGGCTTTGTGTCTTCATCTTCTTTGCTTTCCACATCAGTGTGCTCCTTCTCCCTTTAAATGCTAATAGCAGCTAACAGCCGTTCTTTAAGTTATGAACGTTTTCCCACTTTCTTAGTCTCACATTCTTTCGCATTGTCACAGCTCCAACTCTTTTCTCCCGTCTTCTCATTTTTCTGTCACTTCTCCAGTCTTTTTTGGTCCTGTTTAACCTAAAGGCTGCGTTTAGGCAGCTGATTCGGCGAAAAGGCTGCTTTGGCCTCCACACGGGGAGTTCCTTTGGTCAGTGTGCTGCAGCTTCTCCTGCTTTGTTGGGGCGCACGAGGGGACTGGGCATTAATCGTACCTCTGCGGGGAGCCGCTCCCGCATCTCCTCCCCCCGGCGAGACCTCCCGCTGGAGGGCGAGGTTACCTCTTGCTGGAGGTACGGACCTGGTGTCTCGTCCAGGTTGTTGGGGCTGTGGAGACAGACGGGAGTAGGATCTAGCCTTTGTCTGTCAGAGCTTTCACAGGTTGGATATCTGTCACTCACAGCGTTGCTGCGCCGCCTGCCGTGGGTTGCTGGCACTGCTGCCGAAAGAGGACTGGAAGTTATGGATGGTCTCTTGGAGGATCTGCCTCTCTCTGCCCTGCAGACATCCAGGAATTTATTGCGTTTTTATTTGGCTAGAACAAACTATTCATGCTAGCAAAAGCAGACAGGAAGACGCACCTTTCCGGCATTTAGCTCTGATATGGCAGCTAGGATCTGTTGCCTGGGCCCGTCTGTTTTAATGCCCAGCTCCTTCAGGTCACCGTCTGTCAGAGTAAGAAAGGCTTCCATGTCCACCTACATGACAGAGTGGAGAGAAAAAGGAGGACAAAAACACCTTGAAAAGATGTCCACAGAGCTTTTACAGGCAAATGAAAAAATGTTTTTCTTCTGTTTGGGGGAGAAAGAAATCTGAACACCTCTTGTTCCTCAAATATAGGCTGATACTTCTCTAGGGAGAGTTTCTTCAAAATACTGGATAGCTCATCTGAAAACAACAAAAAAACAGAGTGTGATTTAAGAGAAAAACTATAAAGAAATATGGTTCATGGTGCATCATGCAAAGGGTCAGGGTGATGACTGTGGAGACCTTCATCGGTGATGGTTCCGCTGCTGGAGCCCCCGCTGCTCTTGGAGCGTGGGTGGGATGAGGCCGAGGACAAAGAGTCCCCCGGGCCGGGGGGCATCTTGGGCGTGGGCGACGGGGAGGGCGTCAGAGTGGGTGACGTGCTCTTGGAAGTGGAGGAATTCCCTGACTGAGGCCTCTTCTTCAGCTCCATTTTCTGTAAGGGAGCACAAACAGGGATGGGCGGGGGGGCGCCGGTCACTTCGGAGACAAGGGGACGTCAGAGGATGTGTAGAGGGATGCACTGACCCTTCGAGAGTGGATGTCTGAGGCGACCAGGCTGGGGTGCGGGGGGATGTCGGGGAGGCTGATGTCCGGGGGGGGCGGGCCTGGGGCCGGAGGGGTCGGGATCTGCGTCTGACCGGGCGGTTTCTCTGGAGCTTGGGCCTTGGGGTCCATCAGCCCCGCTGCTCTTTTCCTCTGAGCTGCTATCTGGGAGAGGACGCTGTCTGCGCTGCCCCCTAGTGGGAGGAAGACAGCGGAGGGTGTTGTTCTGCAGTAAAAACAAACACACCTCACACCACAGCTGGTGGTCAATTCCAGCCCGCACCTGAACGGTTGTGAGAGTCCCGATTGAGCCCTGCCACTCCGTTGGAGCCTCCGGAAGAGTGGGGGGAGTGGTAGTGGCCAGAGTTAGAGGGAGAGGTTGAGGAGGGTCCTTTAGAGATGCTGGGAAACTTAATAGACCTGTTAACCACACGGCTGATGGACGTCTGTAACAGGAAGAGGAGAGGAGAGCAGAAATAAGAAGGACTACAAAACACCGACCGATGAGCAGATCTGCTTCTTCCTTACAAAATCAGAGTTCCCGCTGCTGTTTAGCTTCCTTTGAGGGGGCATGGGCAGACGGGGCGCCTCGCTTTTCCCTCCTCTGAGGACGCGCGAGCGGTCCGAGTTCCACGGCTCAAAGTTGGACGGGGGCAAAAAGGGAGGAATCACGGCTTTCAGCTTGTCGTTGGGCAGCCGGGTCAGAGGCGCCCCGCTTCTGAGCTTTTAGGAGTAAGAAAAAAGAAACAGCTAAACGTGGTGTCAACGTCATCTTTAAGCCGCCATACCAATCTTAAAACAAAAGTCCTGCACGTGTACAAGGCAGAAATTCAATCCAAAGCAAAAGCACATATATCATTTTAATTTAAATAAAAAGTTCCCAAAAATAACCAAAACGTCTTTCCGATGAGGTGGAAAAAACAAAAGTAAGGAGTCTCTCGATGACACTTTTCAGAGCTTGTGTAAGAAAGGTTTCATGTTAAAGAAAAGACACTTACCATTGTGGTTATTAGAGAGTCCTCTTTTTCTGAGGACGCTCTACAGTGCCCTGCTAAAAGATGAGATGGCATTTATATGTTGTCTTGATTATAATTAAGCATTATATATATATATATATCATAGACATCTTTCTATCTATCTATCTATCTATCTATCTATCTATCTATCTATCTATCT